CCTTACTTAATTTACGGTAACGGTTTACGTTACTATTTTAGTTTACCGTAACCTACGAGTTTAATTAGGTCGGAACTAGTACGTATACTATACCCCCCCCCCCCCCCCCCTACCCCCCCCCCCCCCTCCTCTCTCTCTCTCTCACACACACACACACATACACACTCTCTCTCTCTCACACGCACACAACAGTCTCTCTCTCTCTGTCTCTCTCTTACACACACACATGATGTAGTACGTGCATCATTGGTTGCTTCTTAGCCTGTAGCTTTTCAGTGCTCTTTCCTTCAACTGATTGAGGTTCTTAGCCTTTCTTCCTAGCTATGCAGCCTCCTTTTTACCCCAACTGCCATAGAGACACTTTGAAAACCATCATAGCACTCACCCTTGGTTACTCTATCACAAGTACCGTCATTGACCCATGGCTTGTAATTTGTAATATTCATGGCTCTCCTCTGATAGGTTACACTGGTTTGCAATCCTTTGCGATCCCTGTCATATGTTCATACATGTACACTCTTGAGATACTACATATGCATAAATTGTACTACATATGCATAAATTGAAACATGCATGGATACATACATTGGTGCATGGTTTTGAAGTGTATATAGTCTTCTTTGATGGCTTGAGCAGCCTGTCCATTCGCACTTGCATGCGTGCATTTGCATAGGCATTTAGTCATGTATGTCGGTGTATATGCATGTATAAGAAAATATTAGAAAGCAGATTGTTATTTATTTTTATTCGTGGTGAGACAGGTGCCTTTGTGGGAGTTTCATTGGAGGGAAATATTGTCGCAACACGAATGGAAACGAACTTGCGGTTTTACGGCGACCCTTATCTCACCACTGCAGATATACTTCTCGGGGATGTGGGGAGGCCCAAAGCAGCTGAGCCTTTGTACACTGCCCTTGATGACCTTTATGAAAAACTAAGATTTTAGATGTTTTTACAATCTTGATTGAAGTCTATGACTGTAGATATGACCTGTTCTTACAGCCAAGCAGTTCATTCCCCCCACCCCTCTCTCTATACGGGCATTACTTCATAAGTGTATATTCCTCCATTTCTCTGTGTTTGCGTGTTGGGGGCCGACATTTCATACATACCATTGAATTATTTGTAAATAAATAATTTCTCTATATTGCTTTGTGTGAATTATGACGTAGTCCGAAATTTAGATTGGGAAGATGAAAATGGCATGGGTCTCTTACTTGATCATTTGTTTATTATGGTAAATTTTCTTCAGTTATTTCTGTCAGGAAAAGTTCTCTTTTATCTATTAACATTTCTAGGATAATTCCCTTCTGAATATATGTTATATTGGTAGTATTTGAGGAATCATATATCGTTGGTTAAAGAATAGGTATTTGCTAGCCAACATTAATATTCCAATCCATGACCATGAGGGTACTAGTATATATCGCGTTTAGATAATAATTGCTGGAAAGATTGATAAAATATCAGTAAAGAATTGAACTATTTAATATTTGCACATCTCTTGCTCTAATTTCAAAAAATACCAAAAGGGACATGATTATGAGGTGTAATAGGTAGAAATGGATAATAGGTAGAAATGGATAACATGTTAAATAGGTAATATTTTAAGTGTGCTTACTAAATATTCGCATAACATCTTCCATGTATTATATTCTTATAAATGGGATTTTAGAAATGGCACCCTTAGAAGATAATTTTCGCTAAGGTGTTGTTTTGCTTTAAGAATGAAATATTCTTCGACCAGATTCATTGCATTAAGGGTTACATAGTTAAGTTAGAACTTTTACACATTAAGGGTTATATAGCGGATCTTAATTAGTTTGGAAGGCTTCGATAATGATAATGATGATAGTCCAATTAGAACTTTTATGCTTCTACGTATCTAAGAAAAATGCAGAGTAGGTCAAATTGGCTCATCATTCGGTGGGTATTGGTCTACAGCCTAATAAATAAGCAAAATGATAGATCCCCCTCACTAAAATTATATTATCAGATAGTCTTTTTTTTAAGTAATTCAGTGTGAAATACTCACTCCTATCCGTTTTTTCAAATAGATTAGGAATTAGCTTTTTTTAAGGTATTAGAAGGGTGGTGTTAGTGGTGAGAATAAAAATTACAATGTGGTAATTAAGATATGGGATGCTACTCCCACGATCACACCTCTCTAAAATTATATTCTCAAATAGCCTTTTTAATTCTATAAAAAGACATGGAACCCCCAAAGTTATAAATAAAATGGGATATTTTTCTTTCTTACCTTTTTTAATGTTCAAATTATAGTATTCACCTTTTATTTTTCTAATTATCTTGTTATCAAAATCTTGGAGAAGCCCTCCTCTCTCTTTCTTCCTCGCTTGTGGACCTTTTCATTTAACTCTCTAACAACCTTCTCTTAATACTTCTCTCACTTTGTGCACCTCATAAGCAAGTTAAAAGAGGCAGCGCAAGCTCCATTTACATGACTAGGTCATTGGGAAAAAGAAGGGTGATTACAAAAATTTGGGCAATAGAAAATGTAACGTGGGATTAAAGTCTCTGTCTTTTAACTTGGGGATTTCATGGGCTCTTTTTAAGCCCCAGAGGTTATTTGGGATAATAATTTTAGAGAGAGAAGAGTTCGCAAATCCATCAGATTAAAGTCCGAGATTTAGTTGCATATAGGCAATTTTTGTATGTAAAAATGATAATATGTTAGAGCCAATTTCCTCCTCCATATGCAACCTCTAACCATAGTTCAAGCACTCTTTCAGGTAGGGATAAAAACAAAAAGGAATTGTATACAATGAGATTATTTATCTTTGATATATGGAGATCACAATTACTTACAACTATCTGATGTGATAGTTGATAGCTTGGATGTGTCACAAAGTTCATGAAAATTTCTTTTGAACTTTAAACTTGGTCAATGTAATAAATTTAACGCGTAATTTTACAATTAACATTTAATTGTAACCACCTCGTCTCAAAGATAAACAATCTCGTTATATAGTTTTCCAAACAATAAATAAATATTTTGAGTAATGATACTATGAGACCCTCTCACACTCATGTGAGTAGGATCTCAAAAGATAACCATTAAATTTTGGTACAGATCCCTAGAAACGTTATCAATAAACTCATTCACCCATGTCCCACACCGATGAGATGACTTTTCTGGATATCTATGTAAAAATTTAATGGTGATCTTTTGAAATCTTACTCACATAAGTCTGGGAGGGTCTTACAGTGTCATTAGTCAAATATTTTTATTCAAAAAGCAAAACAATTGTAATACTCAAACCATGTGATTTCCAAACCACGCTTTCCAAATCTCGCTCCTTTGGTCGCGAGTATCGATAATTTTAAATTATAAACCCAAGCCCACCTCACGCTCCACCTCACGTACATTCTCAACTACCCAAATCAGTCTTGCAATTCACTTTCTCAAAGTTTTATTTGATTAGTACTTGAACCAATTATTGAAGAAAAAAGTTTATATAAGGTTGCAATATTAAAACTGTAGAGATAAAGATTCACTTAAAAAATCTATTATAAAAAGTTGTTTGCATATTGGAAAACCCTCTAGTTGATCATCTCGATATCAAGATGTATGAAAATGAAAAGAACAAAAGATTTCAAATCCACGAAATAGTGCATCTTGCAACACATTATCTAGACCATCCATTTTTAAGATTTTCATAGGTTTATAGGTCTACTTGATTTGAACCATTTTTAAAGTTTAAAATTTCATAGTTAGAGATGAAAATAGATTCTCAAGCCATCCTAACAATTTTTATATCAAATTTACAGATAAAATTTAGAGGTGCGCTTTAATTGGATTGTTTTAGGTTGCAACTTTATACAAACCACACCCATTACTGAATCAATGGGCAATATTACAGACAATAAAAAGAATATGAATGAATCAAGAAGCAAGTTCAAAGGCAATAGCCTACATCAACTATATTCCCTTTCAAAGCAGCCTTGCACTTCACTGTCTTTCTAAGATTCCATATAATTGGTGTAAGAAATTGGAAAAATTACCGAGTCCACGAACTCCGAGTTTCCAATACGTTTACCAGTCCTTAGGACCTCTTGAATTAGAGTTGGGCTTCTGATCTGCTCAATCCAACCCTTAGGTTCAAAATTTTGGCCCCTTGCACTAAAGGCATGTTGCTTGTAGGCACATTTGCTTCTAGGAAATAGGAACCCTTCATTTTGTGCCTTATATATAGCATTTGAGGGTTGGCTTTAATCAGGTATGAGCCAATGCATCTGTTGTATTAGGCATGGAAAAATGGAAATGAAAGACTTGTTGATTGCTATATGTAAGGGGCAACTTGACATATTTGTGTAATCTTTGGAAAAGAATTAAAGACAACCTGAATACAAAGATAAGATCAAACGTTACTCCTAAGTTCTAACATTATTTAAAAAGTCGGAGTCGGACTTCGACTTGCTAGATGTCGGAGCCTGAGTTCACCAAGTCTGACTTTGGCAAGCCCGAATTGGACCCAAAAAATTTTCACAAGAAAGATCTTAGAAAATATTGAAAACTTGAGAGACAGGCATTTCTTGGGATTTTTTGGTCCGAAATCGCCAGCCTCTTAATCCGATCCAATTCGGACGTGTCATGGGTCAGACAAACAATTTTCTCAAACATTGCTCTTTGAGTCATTCTTGCAAGTTTCTTCTCAATCACAGGGAAATGTGTCTTATAGCATAATTAAGTGACTCAGACATTACCTTTTCAATAGACAGCAAGGTGTTGTTTGTTTTGTTGGACGTAGATCCTTTATAGGCAACGGTTATGATGCAATCTATTGCCACCTGCAACATCACAGTTAAAGTTAGAAACTTCACAACTCTTTGGACTAATTAGTTCAATGCAAGTATCATGGATATGGCATAAATAGATATCTCGGAAACATGCACATTCTATTTTCATGATGGGCGGTGAGTCCGATGAACCGCCACATAAAATAGTTTCATATAGGAGAAATAAAGATTTTTTTTTTGGAAATTCAGTGGGGGAAGACACGCCCTGCCGTTTTCTTTTAAATAGTTTAGGGGTTAGTTTTTGGAAAGAGTTAGTGGGAATGAAAACTACAACGTAGTGACTATGGTGTGGAGGTACTACCACCATGATCCCAGCCCTATGCAAGCTATGTTACATGTTTGCGTTGGAATTCAAAACCTTGAACAAATATAATTTAAAAAAAAAACAAATACAATTAAAGAAAACAATGGCATGAGAAAAAAGAAAGTAAAAGTAAAAACGACATAAATTATAATTGATACTTTGGTTCATTATAAAAATTCAAACAAATTCATTTAGTTTATCTATTAACAAACTTCATTTTAAGAGATAGTAGTTGTATTAGGTACGAGTATGACTAACGATCTATGGTGAAGCATATTCATCTTTTGTCATATGCTGTAACATTGGGATAAATGAATTTTGTTAAAAGTCTCTTGACCTTCGGCTCAGTACTGGGCATTACAATTTGGTAGAGGGAGGTCAAGGGGTCACAAACTTTTTAACAAAATGCTCAAAAGAGTTACCTGTACTTTTTTTTTTCTTTCTTTTTTTGAAAAATACATTCAAAACAAACTCAAAATATATTCCAACAAATTTCACCTAAACTTGTGGATATGTGGATATTATTGTTGCTTCTTTCTATTTTAAATATATTTATAATAGGTTTTAACTTAGGGAAAAGTTTATATAGAGCCTAGGCTCTAAACAATCAAAATGGAGCCTTGTTTATACTCATGAATAAGTGGATATAATTATTGTAGTATTAGAAAGTACACAATAAGACCATTTACTTTGGTACAAGGATAAAATCACTTTTTGATTTTAAATTCGGACAAACTGGATATATCCCTTTGATTGTTTTGAAGAACGAAGAATAAGAAGAAGAATATACGTCTTGGGTTATGTTTATGCAAAATACAATTTCCTAAGCAGGATAGGGCCCTCTCCCCACCAAAACCCTCACCCCAAAAAAAAAAACCGTCAAAATCCATATACATTTTTTTATATATATAAATATTTGTTTGATGATTCTAAAGGCGATCTCAAATTTTAAGATGGAAGAAAACCTCTCAAGTAGCTCTTTTACCCAAGGGAGCAAGTGCACAATGCGCTCCCTTGGGTAAAAGAATTTCGACGGTTTAAACTACCATATGTGGAAAAAAAATCGATGAAACAATAGTCGAACCTTAACCTTCGGAAATGTGAGACCCCAAAGACGTAGGCCGGCTTCTATATCACCCACAAGTCTCCAGTCAACAAGGTGACCCTTAGAGAACTCTTCCATAAAACCTTTTATAAACATCTTGTGAAGGTTCAGGTGGTGAAGGACCACCTGACTATGTACATGCATCTTCTCACTATGTGCATGTTGGTAAAATGCAGGAATTTTTGCAACCCCAATTGGAAGTCCTTGGAAGAGTATGGAAAACTCAGAGGGACCATACTTGATCCCAACCATGTTAGGGTTTCTTGCAATGATTCCCAAGGAAAGATTGGAAGAGAAGCAAATATCAGAGCTAGACTTAGCCTCTAGAGTGTAAGAATCAAGGCTGAAAGAGTCCATAGAAAACTGAGGTCTCTTAGGTTTCAAGAGGAACACAACAATGGCCACAAAGGCTCCAAGGATTATCAAAAGAAGGAAAAGAAGAAGGAAAAAGAAGCAAAAACACCTTTGAACCGAACAAACACAATCTTGGTTGTCTTGAAATGAATTGTAAAGGATTTTTTGGTCTGTTTTTGCCATTTCTAGAAGCTTGATTCAATCCTTTAGGTGTTTGAAGGGGGAAGCAATAATCCATCTTATGGCCTATATGGTTTTCATACTTGTTATCATATGTTTGTTTATATTAGCAAGCATGGGGAGGGAGGAATTGTTGTGTTCCTTTTTGGGAGTAAAAAGGCATGGCTTTATTCTTTCCTTGGGATCACTTGAACCATTTTAAAGGGAGGTTAACCATGGTGGAAGACTCCTTTGCGTGAAGCCTTTTCTTCTAGGAATTATATCTTTGTATTCAACAGTACAGCAAAGGTAAAGTTTAGATGGGCCCAATATCCAAATTCATATTTTGAGAATAGGGGTGGAAACGGCTTGGGTCGCACCCGATCAAAAAACTAAAAAATATATATTTCAATAATATAATTAAAGGAAATGACCTTGTGAGACCTTCCCACACCCATGTGTTTAAGATCCCAAAGCATCAGTATTAAACTTGACACAGATATCTAGAAAAGTCAAATCTCATACTCATGTGATAATTTTTTTAGAGATCTGTATCAAATTTAATGGTGATCCTTTGGAGTCCTACACACATGGGTGTGAGAGGGTCTCATAGGATCATTACTCTTATATTAAATAGATACATGTATTATTTAAATATTAGAACTAAAATATATAGTTATATTTATTTAATTATTAATTAAATAATATTAAAATATAATATACTAAATATCATTTAAATAGTAATACTATTCGGGTCGGGTCTACATGGACCCAGACCCGAATAGTATTCAGGTCCAATATTTAAACCCGAACCCAACCCGTAGGGATCCATTTTTTGGACCCCTATTTAAACCTAGGTTGGGTTCGGTCGCGAGTTCTAGATTGGGTCTGGGTCTATTGCCACCCCTATTTGAGGAGAAGGCCATATCACAGCGCCCAATTGAGATATGGCTATATAACCTGAATAAGCTTATCTATGGTCTCTTTCGTTTTTGCATGTGTTGAAACGTGGAGCATGCGACGTTTATGTTTGCTGCTCCATAAACTTAGATGCTTCTTCAAAATATTTCTTCTTGAAATCTTAAGGTCCCATAAAATCTCTCAACTCCATTTATTTAAATGGCATGCAAATGTGTGAGCCAATATAAAATTAGTGTTTATAACGCTCTAGTTAGTGTAAAATATTCACACAGGTATCCTTATCTATGTAGCATTCGATATGAGGATGTTTGTACCAATTATTGGCTTGTGGATGTTCTCTATTTTTCTTGCAACATGGGAAAATGCATTTAGTACAGAGCATATATAGATGTGCAGGTAAGGTGCACCTTCAAATTTTATCATGGTATGTAATTTTGAAGTAAAATATTATTGGAATTATCTCAAAATATTTTTTTATATCTAATTATAAAATTTTAAATTTCAAAAATGATTAAAATCAAGTAGATCTATATGAAAATTTTGAAAATAGACAGTGTAGATAATATGTTGTAAAAGGCACTATTTCTTAACCTTGAAATCTTTTTATTTTTCTTTGTCATACATCTCGATGTCGAGATGATCAATCAAAGGGTTTTTCAACATTAAAACTATATTTTCCGATGGATTTTTGAGGCGCATCCGTAGTTCTACATTATAAGGTTGCATCCTTATATAAACTTTTTTCCTTTTAAAATGGGTACTCTAAACATTGGGAAAATGGGTAATAGATGGAGAATTCCATGTTAGTTTTTTTTAAACAAACTTAAAAATAAAGAGTTAATCACTTCTTCTATGGAAATAGAACATTCCATGCCTGAAGAAAACAAGATTTACAAAATCACCTCGCATATACATATCCAGAATTTAAAATCCAGATCTGTTGGGTGAGTCATTCACTTCGCTCACCTAATCGAGTCGGTGATCGAGACCGGTACATTGGCTGTGGATTGAGTAAAAAAGTTTAATAACAAAATGTAAAGATGTGGAAATAACGAATCCATCCTCAAATAAGCCTGAGAACTATATAACCCACAAGGTGAATCTGATCCGTATCGAAGATTTCATGTCCCAATCAAAAAGAAAAAATAAAAAATTTATATAAGAGTGCGGCGATAAACAATCAAATTAAGGTGTACTTAAAATATTTATTCATTCGACCTCAACATGTATGAACATGAGAAAAAATAAATATAAAATCTTAAAAATAGTACGTCTTGTATTGTGTTATTTGGACCGTCAATTTTAAAGATTTTTAAATGTTTATAGGTCTGCTTGATCTATGCTATCTTTTAATTTTTAATTTTTAATTAGAGATAATCACAAATTTTTAGACCATTATAAAAATTTGTGATACTGAAACAAGATATTTCGCACTATTTGAAGGTGCACTCAACCCATTAAAGACTTCCGATAATTTTCTCGCCTAAAATATGGGCCTTTCCTGTCATTTTCAAAATGTTTAGATGGATTCGTATTTGATAGAAATGTTAGGGGTAATTGGCGGGAAAAAGTGGCCTTTTCTTCTCTCTCCTGAAGGCGAAACCCTAAAATCTTCTTAATTGTTCTGAAGCTTAAACCCACCCCCCTCTCTACATTCTCGCGCTGCAATTGCA